TCATTTTATGTCATTTTATTGAAATCACAATACAAAGGCAACCCTGGCAGCATCTCTGGTAACAGGGGGTTTTCTGAAATAGACAATCACGTGTAGGGTTATTCTTCCATCAAACAGTATATAATTTACAACTGCCCATAGAAAGGATGCACATTTCCAGGAGTGGAGGTTTATCAGTCCCCTGCCTGCCAACCATTTGTCTCCCAGCAGTGATTAGGAATCTCCTTTCATTAGACACCATTAGTCACTCCCAGGGTTACATGTACAGGGGATCTGTATCTCATATCTCATCACATCCAGCACATGGAGGATGGTACTTTCTGTAGAAGAGATGGAGTAGATGCTTCAGGTATTTGATCATTTTTCTTTGTTCTAACTTTCAGCAAATAACAGTCAATGATATACTGTGATTCACTTTATGTTCACACTAGCAAAATTTTACAGTCTGAGAAAAATGGAGGTATTCACGGAACTATACTTTAGGCCACACCAATTTAATTTGTTGGTTCTCGGATTCGCCTCTTCGTTTTTTTCTGATTTGCAAAAAAAAAAAAATTGATTCTGGTCCTGAATCAACTGAAAAATGCTCATGTTTTGCCCCCCAACAGTTGAGGAAAGTCCTTTTCTTCCTAGTTGTTACAGTTTTCCCATATATCATTGCAGTGGTTTGATTAAAAGTTCAAAATTCAATGTTTAAATTTTAACCCAGCCTTTTGTGTTGACTTCATGGCTCATTTTGTAGCATTTAAGCCTATAATAGGATGCCTAGACCTGTTTTTATTTTTATTTTTTTTTCGCCCTGTCGCTTCATATTTTTTCTGAAAAAATCTGAGAACCAACAAATTAAATTGGTGTGGCCTAATAATAATAATCTCAACGCCATTTTCACACACTGAAGAGCTAATAGTCCACCGGTCGTGACAGGAAAGACTGAGAATACATACAAGTTGTTCATTGTAACAGAAAAGCACAAGGAACAGTGGACCACGGCTTAATGTCCAGTGTCCTAAGGACTAAAACCTTTTCCAGTGGTATGTACATGTAAGTCGGGTGAGCTGTAATACATTATATAACAGCCAGGATTTGAACTCCCAGCCTCTTGGTCAAGAGAATTAGAGTTGTGTTCAACCATGCCCGTGCATCATCAGAGCACTAACCTCAGCACTTTTGCCTGCCGTCCTGCTCTCCGCTAAATATTGACCTGACTTGACTGAGTTGACATCCAGAATTTTCCGCTAATGAATCCGCCATTACCAGACATGAGTCGAGGAGACCGAGGAATCAGGCAGTAATGGCAAATTTGTGTACGGGCAAAGCAGCTGCCAAGTGCTCCATCAGGACTTGACACTGAGCAGCTATAGGCTTCACTGAATGCACTAATACCTAATGCCATCTGGCACTTGTTTTTTCCAAAGTATTGCCCAAACCCTGCCCAGTTTGTAATTGAAGTTATCTCTGGTAAGGCCACACCAATTTAATTTGTTGGTTCTCGGATTTTTTCAGAAAAAATATGAAGCGACAGGGCGAAAAAAAAAAAATGAAAACAGGTCTAGGCATCCTATTATAGCCCCAAATGCTACAATATGAGCCATGAAGTCAACAAAAAAGGCTGGGTTAAAATTTAAAGTATAAATTTTGAACTTTTAATCAAACCACTGCATTGATAGATGGAAAAACTAACAACTAGGAAGAAAAGGAATTTCCTCAACTGTTGGGGGCAAAATATGAGCATTTTTGAGTTGATTCAGAACCAGAATCTTTTTTTTTTTTGCAAATCAGAAAAAAATGAAGAGGCGAATCCGAGAACCAACAAATTAAATTGGTGTGGCCTAAAAGAGCATCTACATGTTTGTACTTCATCTTGTATAATCCCAACGGAAATGATGTTTCAGTTGTAAATAGATTAATGGGCTAGGCTGCGTACATATGGTACCTTTGTGTACTTGGCAGAATTGGCACA